ACCTGAGATCCAGAGATCGAGACCATCCTGGCCAACATGGTAAAACTGCCCGTACTGGAAAAAAAAAAATTACCTGGGCATGATGGCGCATGTCTGTAGTCACAGCTAGTTGGGAGGCTGAGGCAGGAGAATCACTTGAACCCTGGAGGTGGAGGTTGCAGTGAGCCAAGATTGCACAAGTGTACTCCAGCCTGGCAAAACAGTGAGATTCCATCTAAAACAAAAATCCAAGAGTTCACGATGCTGCTTAAGGAAGGATGCCTCATGTGCCTTTGAAGTTGTAACGGCACTCTCTCGTCAAAACTGGCAAATAAGGCTGGACGCGGTGGCTGACGCCTGTAATCCCAGCACTTTGGGAGGCTGAGGCAGTTTGGGAGTTTGAGACCAGCCTGACCAATATGGAGAAACCCCGTCTCTACTAAAAATACAAAATTAGCTGGGTGTGGTGGTGCATGCTTGTAATTCCAGCTACTCAGGAGGCTGAGGCAGGAAGAATCACTTGAACCCACGAGGTGGAGGTTGCCGTGAACAGGATTACACCATTGCACTCCAGCCTGATCCAACAAGATCAAAACTCCATCTCAAGAAAAACAAAAAAATTGACAAATGAAAGAATCAGGCAATTGATACCTTTTCTGGCTGGGCGTGGTGGTTCACAGCCTGTAATCCCACCACTTTGGTGGGATCAAGAGATTGAGACCATCCTGGACAACATGGTGAAACCCCATCTCTACTAAAAATACAAAAAGCCAGGTGTGGTGGTGCGTGCTTGTAATCCCAGCTACTCAGGAGGCTGAGGCAGGAGAATCTCTTGAACCCTGGAAGTGGAGGTTGCAGTAAGCCAAGTTCGTGCTACTACACTCCAGCTGGGCGACAGAGCAAGACTCCGTCTTAAAAAAGAAAAAAAATTTGTCTTTCTGTATGAACCATTGAGTTTTGGGGCAACAACTGATGACAGGGGTCCTTTAAAAAACAATTTCCAGGCTGGTCACGGTGGCTCATGGCTGTAATCGCAGCACTTTGAGAGATGGAGGCGGGCATATCACAAGGTCGAGTTCGAGACCAGCCTGACCAACATGGTGAGGAAGCCCCGTCTCTTTTAAAAATACAAAACTTAGCCGGGTGTGTTGTGGCACGTGCCTGTAATCCCAGCTACTCGGAAGGCTGAGGCAGGAGAATCACTTGAACCCCAGAGGCGGAGGTTCCAGTGAGCCGAGACTGTGCCACTGCCCTCCGGCCTGGGGGACAAAGCGAGACTCTGTCTCAAAAAAAAAAAAAAAAAAAAACAGCTAAGAAATACAGAAATAATTAGAAAATCAGGCTGGGCGATGTGGCTCACACCTGGTACCTCAGCACTTTGGGAAGCCAAAGTGGGTGGATCCCTTGAGGTCAGGAGTTCAAGAGCAGCCTGGCCAACATGGTGAAACCCCGTCTCTGCTAAAAATGTAAAAATACAAGCATTAGCTGGGCGTGGTGGTGTGCGCCTGTAATCCCAGCTACTCGGGAGGCTGAGGCAGGAGAATGGCTTGAACCCGCAAGGCAGAGATTGCAGTGAGCCGTTAGTGTGCTACTGCACTCCAGCCTGGGCAACAGAGCAAGACTCTGCCTCAAAAAAACAAAAAAACAAAAAACCATCATTTTGCAGTGCCTAATAAAATGATGCTTGTGAGAAACCGAAAATTGAATATGACCGTTGTGGCCACTAATAATAGGTAGGCTAGCCCAACTTCCCAGAAACAGCCAAACCTCACTACAGACAGGACCAGAAGACAAGTCCACGGAGGTCAAACAGGAGATGCACAGCGCCACCTCTGAAAGTTGAACTGGGGCTGGTCATGGTGGCTCACACCTGTAATTCTGACACTTTTGGAGGCCAAGGCAGGCAGACTGCCTGAGCTCAGGAGTTCCAAGAGCAGCCTGGGCAACAGTGAAATCCTGTCTCTGCTAAAATACAAAAAAATGAGCCGGGTGTTGTGGTGTGTGCCTGTAGTCCCAGCTTCTTGGGAGGCTGAAGCAGGAGAATTGCTGGAACCCAGGAGGCGGAGGTTGCAGTGAGCTGAGATTGTACCACTGCACTCCAACCTGGGCAACAGACCAAGACTGTCTCCAAAAAAAAACCTTCAACTGGGTGCATCCTGCTTAAGAGCCACAGAAGATGGAAGAGCATTCACAGGACACCTGAGGGTTCAGCCCAGCAAATCCAGAACACGGGACACTGTTGGCAAAACAACCTGGACTCCCCGACACCTGAGTGGCACCAACATGGCGTGATGAGACCAGGAGACAGAACTGCCCAGCTGAGTTGCTCTGTGATCTTTGAACACTGTGTAAATAATGATTGTGTGAAGCTGCTAAATTTCAGGGTACATCTTTCAGAGCATTAAATTACTAATTTTTTTTGGAATAAATTACTATACTATACGAATAAATTACTAATAACATGTTTGGAATTTGCTGCAACAGTTTCTTTTCTTTTTTGAGATGGAGTTTTGCTCCTTGCCTAGGCTGGAGTGAAATGGCACGATCTTGGCTCACCACAACCTCCGCCTCCCAGGTTTAACTGTTTCTCCTGCTTCGTCCTCCCGAGTAGCTTGGATTACAGGCGTGTGCCACCATGCCTGGCTAATTTTGTATCTTTAGTAGAGACAAGGTTTTTCCATGTTGGTCAGACTGGTCTTGAACTCCCAACCTCAGGAATCTGCCTGCCTCGGCTTCCCAAAATGCTGGGATTACAGGCATGAGCCACCGTGCCTAGCCACTCCCCCTGCCCAGCTTTTTTAAAATTTCTTTAAAGACAGGGTCTTGCTCTGTTGCCCAGGCTGGAGTGCAGTGGTGCAATCTCAGCTCACTGCAGCCACGATCTTGGCTCAAGCAATCCTCCCACCTCAGCCACCTTGAGACCAACCTGAGCAACATAGTGAGAACCTGTCTTTACAAGAAACAAAAAATGGTGCCCACCTGTAGTCCCAGCTACTCTGGAGGCTGAGGTGGGAAGATTGCTTGAGCCCAGATCGAGGCTGCAGTGAGGTGAGATTGCACCACTGCACTCCAGCCTGGGCAACAGAGTAAGACCCTGTCTTTAAACAAACAAACAAAAAAGGTGGGGTGGGCTAGACGACGTGGCTCATGCCTGTAATCCCAGCCCTTTGGGTGGATCACCTGAGGTCAAGAGTTCGAGACCAGCTTGGCCAACATGATGAAACCCTGTCTCTAGTTTAAAAAAAAAAAAAAAAAAAAAAAAAAAAAAAAAAAAAGCCAGGCAAGGCTCACACCTGTAATCCCAGTGCTTTTGGAGGATGAGGCGGGCAAATCATGAGGTCAGAAATTTGAGACCAGTCTGGCCAACATTGTGAAACCCCGTCTCTACTAAAACTACAAAATATTAGGCGGGCATGGTGACAGGCACCTGTAATCCCAGCTACTGGGGAGGCTGAGACACGAGAAATGCTTGAACCCGAGAAGCGGAGGTTGCAGTGAGCCGAGATTGCGCTCCAGCCTGGGTGACGGAGTGAGTAGCCGCAAAAAAAAAAAAAAAAAAAAAAAAAGGGCCAGACGTGATGGCTCACACCTGTAATCCTTGCACCTTGGGAGGCCGAGGTGGGTGGATCACCTGAAGTCAGGAGTTCAAGACCAGCCTGGCTGTCATGGTGAAACCCCATCTTAAAAAAATAATAGGCTGGGCGCGGTCGCTCAGGCCTGTAATCCCAGCACTTTGGGAGGCCGAGGCGGGTGGATCACGAGGTCAAGAGATCGAGACCATCCTGCTCAACCTGGTGAAACCCTGTCTCTACTAAAAATACAAAAAAGTAGCTGGGCATGGTGGCGCGTGCCTGTAATCTCAGCTACTCAAGAGGCTGAGGCAGGAGAATGAGAATTGCCTGAACCCAGGAGGCAGAGGTTGTGGTGAGCCAAGATCGTGCCATTGCACTCCAGCCTGGGTAACAAGAGCGAAACTCCGTCTCAAAAAAAAAAAAAACCAATAATTAAAAATTAAAATAAATAAATAAATAAATAAGCTAGGTAAGGTAGCTCATGCCTGTAATCCCAGCTACTCGGGAGGCTGAGGTAGGAGAATTGCCTGAACCCGAGATGGAGGATGCAGCGAGCCGAGACTGCGCCACTGTACTCCAGCCTGGGCAAGAGAGTGAGAGGTTGTCTCAAAGTCAGGAGTCCACGTGAACCTCACCACAGTCCTAACAAGTGCTGCGGGCTGGGGGGGCGGCGGCGTCCTACCCAGCGTCTGGTGCAGGGCCTTCAGGGACGTGGCCTGCAGGACAGGGGGGAGTCCACGGCTGGGTCCAAGCCCTGCAGCTGCGCCAGGCCACTTATGTCATGCGACTCCTCCTGAGGCTTCAACACGGCCCTTGCGGGGCGAACCTGTGAAATCTCGGACAAGTGGAATGGAGAACTGGGTGTCGGGGTGAAGCCCCGGCTGAGGCAGCTCCTCATCTCCCTCCTCGTGGTGCCAGGAGCTCCCTGCGTCCTGGTCCCGAGGAGCCGCGGGATCCCTCAGGGGCACAAGGGCCTCTGCGGGGTGCCCAGGCAAGGCAGCCACGTGCTGCGCACGAACCGACGGCCTGGAGGAAACGCCCCGGCTGCGCCCACTCGCCCGGCACGAGCCCGCCTGTTCTTCCACCGGGGACACCAAGGCGCTGGAGCATCGAGATCCCAGGAGCGGCTCTCGCCTGCGTGGGACGAAAACTTAATCCCCGTGCCCCTTACGACTCCGACGTCCCGGGACCCGGTGACAAGGCCCCAAAACGAGGCGCGGCCGGACCGAGGTTGGACGGCGGCGCCCTGGGCGCAGGGCACCTTGGGCCGGCGGGGAGAGGTGCCCTGGCTTACGGAGATGACCGCCGACGGGGCTTCGGGCCGACAGCGACGACGCCAGAACCCACGCGAAGCGCGCCCACGAGGTCCCGCCGCAAGATGGCGGCTGCGCGACCCCGGCCTCCCACGCGCCGCGCATGCGCCCTGGCCTTCCCCGCCCGGGCGAGCGGAAGTCGCGTGACCCCGGAAGTGACAGGCAGGGCGGGCGCGCGGGCGGGGCGGCCTACGAGGTTCGTCATTTAGTGCGGGAGGGAGCCAGAGCCGCGCCGCCGAAGCCTCCGGTGAGTGGCCGTGGCGTGGCGGAGGCGGCGGGCCGGGGCGGGGACCGGCGGGGGCGGCGGGGCGCCCGGCGCGGGGGAGGGGGCTTCCGCCTTTGTCCGCGCCCCGCCCTGAGTCCGCGGCGGGGTCTCGGCGGGCGGGGGCCGTGACAGCGGGCGGCTTGCGGCGGGCGGCGCGGGCCAGGGCGGGGCCGGGGCGGGACAGTGCGGCGGCGGCCTGGGTCCCACGTGCGGGGCCCTGGCCGGAGGGGCGGCGTGGCCCAGGGCGGAGCGGGCCCCGCCCGAGCGGTCGGAGGCTTCTTTTCATGGCCGCCAACGATTTTGGGGCCCGGGCAAGACCTGAGGGTTCCTCCCTTGGGACGGGGGGCGCCAGGCAGGCAGACGCGGTCATCGCGCCCCAGGGCGGCGCGGGGATTGGGGCGCGGCCTCCCCTCGCGCCCGGGCCACGCCCGGCGCGGATTGCGGGCCCTGCGGAAGTGCGGGCCGCGCCCTAGGATCCCGGCGCCTGCGGCCACCCTCGCGCGGCGCAGAGGCCCCAGCGCCTGGCGGAAGCAAGGCGGCCTGGACCCCGGCCTGGGCGTCCCGGGTGGGCTGCTCCCCGACCCGTCTCCCACGCCGCTGGGAAGGATCTGAGCCTGAGGGACAGACCCGCGCTCGGGCCCCTGTCGGGTCAGTGCTGCCCAGCGCGCTCCTGGCCCACAGTCTACAGGAGGGTCCGAGAGCACTGAACGGCTGTGGTAGCTCCCAAGTTGTAGGTCACAGACCCTCCCAATCGGAGAGAAGTTGGAGATACTTAATATCCCCATGCCCCGTTGGCCCCCTGCGGGGTGCTGGCTGCCCCCAACTTCCGAGCTCCAGGGGCTTGATGGATGAGGCTGAGCACAACACACAGGTTTGCACGTGACTAGCACGGCCTGGGGAGCATCCCTGAGCAGGGATACCCAGCTCCGTTACCCAGTAGGGCGAGGGCCTGGGCAGCTCAGGAGCAGGAAGACCCTACAGAGGTTTTAGTGTGGGCGCTGCCAGTTGGGTTTGGGGCCAGCTAGTCCTGCCCTTTGTATGCAAGGGACTGCTGCCTCCTCCTCCGTGGAGGGAGGTGTGCTCTCTCCCCCAGACTGGCTGTAGTTCCCATTTTGTCGTAGATGTTATACCTGGGGTGGGGAGGAGCAAGGGTGGCCCCCCGGGAACCCTTGTAAAGCTCTGGCTGCAGCCTCCCTTCTTGCTTAGAAAGTGCGCCTCCCATGGGGACCTAGGTCCAAGGCCTGCCACCGTCCCGCCCCTAGGTGTCCCGACCCGGGTTAAGAGTGAGCATGGCTGAGCAGGAGCCCACAGCCGAGCAGCTGGCCCAGATTGCAGCAGAGAATGAGGAGGATGAGCACTCAGTCAACTACAAGCCCCCTGCCCAGAAGAGCATCCAGGAGATCCAGGAGCTGGACAAGGATGATGAGAGCCTGCGGAAGTACAAGGAGGCCTTGCTGGGCCGCGTGGCTGTTTCTGCAGGTGAGTCTGGGCTGCGCTAGCTGGGTGGCGTCCAGCACACCCCGGCTCTCCTGCTGCTCCCCGGCTCCTACTTCTATTGGCGGGGATGGAGCCCTCACCTGCTGTCCCTCCCTAGACCCTAACGTCCCCAACGTCGTCGTGACTGGCCTGACCCTGGTGTGCAGCTCGGCCCCGGGACCCCTGGAGCTGGACCTGACAGGTGAGTGCCCTGTGGCCTCAGGGGTTCGGGCGGCCCCTGGTAGGGGGGTGCGGGAAGTGCAGCCAGGGGGCCCCTCGGGGCTCAGGCGTGGTGTTGGGCCGTCACTGAGGCAACGGTCTCCACGACAGGCGACCTGGAGAGCTTCAAGAAGCAATCGTTTGTGCTGAAGGAGGGCGTGGAGTACCGGATAAAAATCTCTTTCCGGGTAAGGCACAGGCTGCTGTGGCCAGGGAACGGAGGGGTGGCCTCAGCCAGCTTTCCCTGATCTTTGCTTCGGGTCCTGCAGGTGAACAGAGAGATCGTGTCCGGCATGAAGTACATCCAGCACACGTACAGGAAAGGCGTCAAGAGTGAGTGGGGTCCCGGGCAGGGCAGGTGGGGGCCTCTCGGGTGCGCTGCTGGGTGAGGGACGGGGCCACCGACTGCCCTCTTTCTTTGCTGCAGTTGATAAGACTGACTACATGGTGGGCAGCTACGGGCCTCGGGCCGAGGAGTACGAGTTCCTGACCCCCGTGGAGGAGGCGCCCAAGGGCATGCTGGCCCGGGGCAGCTACAGCATCAAGTCCCGCTTCACAGACGACGACAAGACTGACCACCTGTCCTGGGAGTGGAATCTTACCATCAAAAAGGAGTGGAAGGACTGAGTCCCGGCCAGAGGCAGACAGGGCAGATGGACGGACGGACGGACGACGGACAGGCGGATGTGTCCCCAGCCCCTCCCTCCCCCATACCAAAGTGCTGACAGGCCCTCTCTCATCACTCCCACCCTGGTCCGCCTTCCTGGCGCGGCCCAGCCGAGTGCCTCCGACCCTCTCAGCCCTCCCCTGCCCACAGGCCCAGCCTCCTCGGTGGTCTCGTGTCTCGTTGCTGCTTCTGCCTGTGCTGTGGGGGAGAACGGCCCTGGCCAGGCCTCTGCTGCCCTTTCCTTGCCCCTCAGGTCTTGTCTCCCCATCACACCTGAGGCCTGGCCTCAGGAAGGAGTGGAGCAGCCCAGGGGGCGCACGGGTGCTTCCATTCTCCCAAGCCCCGTGGCTGCCCAGGACACGTTTGTCTGCTGCCCCACGGCGGAGCTGGGATGTGGGATGCAGGGCCTCCTGGGGACCAGGCCGCCCTCCAGCCCCGCCCCTCCCACCCCGCCCGGTTGCTGTCAGTCCTGTCTAACCATGATGCCTTAACATGTGGAACGTGCCGTGGGGGCCTCACTAACCTCTAACTCCCTATGTCTGCATGAGCATGTGGTCTCCCCCTCCCGTACCCGGTGGCAAACCCAGTGATCCAGGGAGGTGTGGGCTGCTGCCGCCCTCCAGCCTACCAGTGCCTGGCCCACCTGCCCCTCCCCTGGCCAGGGCTGTGGGGATGGCTCCAGCGGCTTGGGGAAAGCCAAATTGCCAAAACTCGGTCACCTCAGTACCATCCAGGAGGCTGGGTGTCGTCCTGCCTCTGCCTTTTCTGTCTCGGCGGGCGGCGCCCAGAGCCCACCCCCGAGAGAGCCCTGGACGGACAGCCTCACCCACCCCACCTGGGCCCAGCCGGGAGCCCTGCCTGGCCATCAGTATTTATTGCCTCCGTCCGTGCCATCCCTGGGCCACTAGCCTGCTGCCTGTTCCCCCAGGCTCGGTGCCACCACCCCCGGCAGGCCCTCCCTGACCCAGCCAGGAACAAACAAGGGACCAAGTGCACACAGAGCTGAGCGAGTCTCCTGTGCCTCCCCCGCCCGCCCCCGGTCTTTGTGTTGTCTGCTGGGCTCAGGCAGAGGCGCCTGTTCCTGCTTTTCTGACCGGGAAATAAATGTCCCTGAAGGAGCCAGGGGTGTCTGCTGCTTGGCATCTGCGGGGACAAAGCTCGCAGGCTTTTGGAGACAAAAGGGAAGATGGGGACCCTGGTGGGAAGGTGGGGGAGGGTGGGGCCCCCTGAAGTGCTGTGGCTGCTGGGTCCCTCGCAGCTATCAGGGAGAAAGGAATGTGAGACTCCTGGTGACACCAGCCCTAGGCAGTGGGAATCAAACAGCAGACAGCCTTGGCTGGGGGTGCTGGGCCTGGCAGAGGGAATGGGGGAAGTGGGAGCCTGTGCAGCTCAGGTGCTGCCAGAGAGCTGCTTGATTCCCTGACCGGGCTTGGAGGTGTCCAGTTGGCCCAGATGTGAGCACGCCTTCCAATGACAATCCCAAGAAAACCTAGGGAGGACCAGGCCCAAGCCAGGGTCAGCCCAGTGGCCCCTGGTGCACATCAGCACAGGCACGGCTGAGGCAGGAAGTCGGTGCCGAGGCAGTCGGGGCCACAAGCGCCCTTCACAGCTGCAGCCTAGCACCCTCCAAGATGGGACAGTGCCAGGAGCCCAACGGCGAAAAGGCCTGGTGGGATGCCATCAGCCAGAGACGGGCATCCTCACTGTAGTATGGGGCACAGGTGACTAGGGGAGCCACATGGCCCTGGGGGCAGGCGTGCTCAGCCAGGGGCAGTGACCACTGCAGCATCGGGAAGCCCAGCGCCTCCATGTCTGCAAGCACATGGGAATGGCACTGCCCCCTCTCAGCACCATCTCCAAGAACCCCCAGTAACTTCAAACCCATGCCCCTCTGCCCAGCCGGGGGAAGAGGCAGACCACTTAGAAGTGTCCAGTGAGAAATCTTTCTGGCCTGATGCCAGTTTCAAAATCTGCCTTCTGTGGTGAGGCGTTGAGAAAAATCGTATTTCACACAGGGGTGGCCGGGATGGGCTGCTGCTACCCTGGGGCCCTCCTACCGGTCATGCTGACACAGGCCATGCTGCTCTGGGACCTGACTTATCAGCAGGGCAGGCCCTGCAGGGGCTTATCGCCAGCTGGGGTGGGCAGGGAGATACCTTCATACCTCAGGTCCCGGACCACACCTGTGCCAGGGCAGCACGCACACAGGCCCCACTGTCACCTCACCCCATCCTTGCCAGGCCCTCATCGCAGCCACAGAGGCTGAACCTACAGTTGACCATCAGACACCGCAACAGAATGGCATCTTCCTACAGAAGCTGGCCCAGACCCTGATCTGAGAGCAGCCACAGAGAGGCTGGGTCAGCCCCCAGCCCTAGATTCCACAGGAAGCAAAGACCCTACCCAGCCTCCCAAAACTGCTCCAGGCCCCAAGTGACAGGGTGGGGCAGTGAGTCCACAGGTTGAAGGCTCATCTCATGGGACAGACGGCAGCCCCTGCCAGCCAGTCTCCACTCTCCCGAGGGAGTTCCCAAGCCCAGTGCCAGGGCGTTGTCAGCAGTCAGGTCATCAGGCAAGGGCCTTCTGAGTCTGGGCAGAGCCGGAGGCCTTTACCTTCTTGCTCCTGGATTTTCCCAGCTTTGCTAGACATGTGAACTCAGACCTGCCAAGCTGTGTGGGCATGCTGCCAGCAGCCAGGACTTTGGGCTGGCTCCTCCCCTGGTGCAGGATAACGTGGCGCACAGTGCACATGACGTGTCTCTCAGGTCCCAAGTCTAACCTGATCTTCGGGGCCCCACCCAGGACCTGTTTGCACTGCCTGGTGCTCAAGACAGGCCTCCCCGCCCCCAGCAGCCTGCACCTGCAGTCCCCTCTCCACACCTCCCGAGGCCCGTGGCTCCCAGCAGTCCCCAAGCATCCACCTCTTCAGCCACTCCCAAGTGGACACTTCTTCCATTCAGGAGGGTGGCAAGTCACAGTGCCAGCCAGTGCTAGGTCAGGGTCTGGGATGTGACCAGCTGATCACAGGTTACTGTGATTTCTTTTTTTTTTTTTTTTTGAGACGGAGTTTCGCTCTTGTTACCCAGGCTGGAGTGCAATGGCGCGATCTCGGCTCACCGCAACCTCCGCCTCCTGGGTTCAGGCAATTCTCCTGCCTCAGCCTCCTGAGTAGCTGGGATTACAGGCATGCACCACCATGCCCAGCTCATTTTTTTTGTATTTTTAGTAGAGACGGGGTTTCACCATGTTGACCAGGATGGTCTCAATCTCTTGACCTCGTGATCCACCCGCCTCGGCCTCCCAAAGTGCTGGGATTACAGGCTTGAGCCACCGCGCCCGGCCGGTTACTGTGATTTCTGAGAACCTTCTCTGTGCCCAGCCCTGCCCTGCCCTAGGATCAGCACCTGCCACACTCCACAAGGCCAGCACTCACCACTGCGCTGCTGCTGGATTTCTTACCTCCACTCCTGGCTCACCATGGGCCGCTGCTCATAGTGGGAACAAAGGAGACCTGGGAGTACTGCCCAGGTGTTCGTTAGCCTGCTTCAGCCCCGCCACACCTTCAGCCAGACTGCAGGCTGAAAGGGAGTGTTTGTTCTAAGAATTCTATTTTTTTTTTTTTTTTTTGAGACAGAGTTTCGCTCGTTACCCAGGCTGGAGTGCAATGGCGCCATCTCGGCTCACCGCAACCTCCGCCTCCTGGGTTCAGGTGATTCTCCTGCCTCAGCCTCCTGAGTAGCTGGGATTACAGGCACGCGCCACCACGCCCAGCTAGTTTTTTGTATTTTTAGTAGAGACGGGGTTTCACCATGTTGACCAGGATGGTCTCGATCTCTCGACCTCGTGATCCACCCGCCTCGGCCTCCCAAAGTGCTGGGATTACAGGCTTGAGCCACCGCGCCCGGCCTCAATTAAAACATTTAATCACTAACCAGTTGGGCATGGTGGCTTATGCCTGTAATCCCAGCACTTTGGGAGACCAAGGTGGGTGGATCATCTGAGGTCAGGAGGTCGAGACCAGCCCGGCCAACATGGTGAAACCCCATATCTACTAAAAATACAGGCGTGGTGGTAGGCACCTGTAATCCCAGCTACTGGGGAGGCTGAGGCAGAACTGCTTGAACCCAGGAGGCAGGGGTTGCAGTGAGGTGAGATCGTGCCATTGTACTACAGCCTGGGCAACAAGAGTGAGTCTTTATCTCAAAAATAAAAACAAAAAATCACTAACCAACATTTAATGGATGTTTTCTCCAAGCCTGAGACTCCCTAAAGGATGTTCTGGAGCACCTGTGATGATCCAAAGAAATGCCAGCCACAGGTGGTCTCTGGCCCCCAAGGCCACACCACTTGAAGGGCCTGGCCCATCTTCTCACCCTAGGGCTGGAAGCCACACGAGCGGGCCTCAGGAAGGTGACACCAGCCTGCATGCTGGGGCAAGACCCAGACCCCGCACATTTCCACCCAGTGAACAATCACCACAGAGAAGACTGTCTCAGGCCACCGCAGGCCACACTTCCTCCTGACAGCCTTACCAGAGCCCAGCTTTGCTGCACCTGTAGGGTTGGTGCAGGAGGCCAGTCCAAGGGAAGAGGCACCTCGAGAGGACACGATGGGCAGCCACAGCATCCGTCTAAAATCCTGGGGTCTGGCTGGGCACACCGGCTCACACTGTAACCCCAGGGCTTTGGGAAGCTGAAGATGGGAGGATCCTTTGAGGTCAGGAGAGATCAGCCTGGGCAACAAAGCAAGATCCTTGTCTTTAAAGAAAAAATAAATGCTGCCATCTGTCTAGGCTACAGTCCTGGTTGGGCGCCCTGGTTTTCATAGAATGTCAGCTCAGCCACAGCCACCTGGGCTGCTGTCCTGCAGTCCTGCCCTCTGCTGCCCTGGCCAGGCCTTCGCCAGCACTGACGTGTGTTCCAATAGCCCCCCGCTTCAGCCACCAGTGGCCCAGAGCCAGCCTGTGAGACGCATCCATGGCCACCTGGATCCTGGTCTGGCCTGTGTGCCTTGAGCATCCTCCACCTGGCCCCAGTTTTCGTTGTCTGTGAACGTTTTCCCTTTCTACTTTACAGCATGCTCTGAGCTACGCTGCTGACAAGCTAATCAACATTACGGTATGTCAGATCTCTTCACTCTTCCCAACAGTGGACAAAACACAAGCGCCAGTGTTTAGGCATCTGACCTCTGACCTCGTATCTAGATGTGGCGCAAGTGTGGTTTTTTTTCTTAAGATACAGGGTCTCCTTCTATTGCCAAGACTGAAGCGCAATGATATGATCATGGCTCACTGCAGCCTCAACCTCCTGGGACCAAGCTATTTTCCTGCCTCAGCCTCCCAAGTAGCTGAGATTATAGGCATGAAACACCACCCCTAGAATGTCTCAGGCCCCAAATTGTGGTTTGTAAAACAGGTCATGGCAACCACAAGAACGTTGGAATATAGTGCAGCGACCTGAAGCAACTTCCATCTGTCCAGAAAGCAGAAGGGACGACGCCTGCGATCAAAACGAGTTATGAAGAGCTGGTGTCTCCTGAGTGAGTTCCAGGCCAGTGCCCAGGCAGGCACATACTCATGTTACCTCTAAGCCGGTAAAGTCACCTGGAGAAGCAGACAGTTCTCCCAGCAGGTACAACATATACCTCTGACTGACCTTTGCTCTGCTGGCACTGGGAGGAGGGGCACAGGGGACCCAATCTTGACCACAAGGGACTCCTGTTGTAGTTGAGGGAGTTCCATGGGTGAAACACCAGAAATACGCTTTCAGGAACAAGTGATCAACAAACACAAACTTTTTTTTTTTTTTTTCTATTTTTCTTTGTGAAAAACAGAAACTCTAAAAAGTATAAAAGCAACTTCTCCTACCTGTTACTATTTCTGAGTCAGGATGTTACTGCAGTCAACACGTATACCTTTACTGTGGGAGTATTTCCCTTTTCCCTGCCAAGATGAAACTTTAACATCAGTGGTGGTGCTGTTTCCCAGCAGAGTAAAGTGAGGAGGAATGGAGAGGGGCAGGCACCTGGGGAAAAGGAGAGATGGCAGCAGGTTCCTGGCAGTGCAGGAGAGGGAGGGCTGCCTGTGTTCAACAGTAACAAAATGCAGCCCTTCTATGTAAT